GCCATTTCTAATAGATTTTTGATCACTAAATTAGTAAAAGTAGAAATTTATATATGTAATTTTAATAAAAGAAGGCGAATAGCAAATACTAAAATCGGCTAAAAACGGCTAATTTTTTTGTTATCGCAACCGGCTAAGGGCCGGTTACTCAATGTCTGGTTAACACTAATCTGCGGTTAAACATCGTTATCGACGTCTTCGACTCGGTGCATACAACAGGGAGGCGGTAAAGTCGATAACTATGTTTAATCGAAGATTAGTGTTAACCAGACATTGAGTAACATACTATAATGGAGCAAAAGAAAAAAGTAATTTTCTGGCTGACGTTTGTAATTTCGGTGCCATGTTATTTTCTGTGAAAAGTAAACAAAGAATATGAAGACGAAGCATAAAGAAAAAATGCAAGCAATGTTGTGCACATGTTTGTGCTAACCGATTTATTATTTATGTACGTGTTTTTGCATTCAATCACTCATTCAATCATTTTAATTACATTTGCACAAAAATTCACTTAAAAATCGCTGAAATAAACCACCGACAAAATACACATAAAGAAAGAAGCCAAACAGAAATAGCCAACTTCAAAATTACGAACGTCACACACATTTCTCCCAATTGCTATTACAAATGGCTGCTTCTCAACCGGTCAGATCTGTTCTAATTGGTTCATGCATTTTTCTGTTGATAAATAAAGAAAAAAACTACCAATTTTGGTTAAAAATTACCATAGTGGCACCGCTGCACCGGAATTTTCTGAATATTTTCCGGAGATGTGCTGAGTCGTTAAGCTGAAATTAGTCGAGAACGCAGAACGTATACTTAAACGCAGTCTGTATACGCAGAATTTTGTCGATTACTGGAGCCCTCAGTGTTGCTTACTACACTGTTGCCACTCATCAATGCATTTTCATAAACTTACCCTTTCAACTACAATTTTTCGTGCTATAATAGATTTTAGCTAAATATAAACTACTTAGTTTTCAACAAAAACCTTATTCAATAGTAAATTTCAAATATTTTAAACATATTTTGAATAGGAACTTATATCTTTTTTACCATCTATAAAACTGACGAAGTGGCAACCATCTAAAGAAGGAGAAATCAGCTGACACGGAAAAATCTAAATTCCGCAGATTTCTGCGCTACGGGCTACAACTACAGAAAAATTCTGCGGTGTTGAGTTTTCATTTACATGGCGCTTTGGTAAGACAGATCGTGTCAGCTGACTCGGGTTTACGTACCGGTAGGTTTACGTTCTTGACTAATTTCAGCTTTACTTTGAAGTATTGATCGACACTCGGTACCGATTTAAAAAGTATCCAGTACTTTCGATATTCGGTACCGGAACTAAAAATAAAGCGAAGCGCACATTAGCGCGATTCCATCGCTGCGAATTCGGATATTAACTTCGAATCCGCAAGCGTGCGCACACTTGCGCGATTTTTTTCGCGTCGAATTCAGATGTACAATTCACTCAATTTTCCCTTTTTTCGTGTATTTTTGCACTCGGCCTGTCCAAATCGTACAAAGTAGTATCATTACGTACGTGTTCTATTAGTTTTTGTACATCACACGTTTTTTTCTTTGAATTTATTGCTATGACACCTTTCTTCCTCTTCTTTGACGCCTTCAAAATGCGAACGCGTCAAAAAAGTGGAACATTGAATGTTTGAAAAATTCGCAGCGACGGAATCGTGCATAGGTGGCATTGTTGTAATTTATAGCTCTGCGGATTCGCAACGTGTGAATCGCGCTAATGTGCGCTTCGCTTAAAAGCGGTTTAGGGGAGCCTAGCCTATCAAAAGCAAGTGTAGGGGCAAATAGAGATGTTAATGTCCATTTTCCATCGCCACATTGCAGAGAAACTCTTCCTTATTTGAAACATTTTTTCTAGATGAACAGGACGATGTTATCTTTGTAGGCCTGAAATATCTACGAAGGCGGAAACTGATAAAATGGTATTCTGCTGTTGCGACACTATCAAGAAGGCGACGAGAGTGTTTTGAAATGAGTTTCCACATTGCTTAGTACAAATTGCTCAACATTTGGGAAAGCATCGTCTTACTCGTACTAATTGTGAAGCATATTCATATTCGAAATAAAGTCGATGCAAGTTTTTTGACAGCTATTCTATTGCAATCGTGAGTAGAATCGGTATTGGGTACACATATGTTAGTGTTTGGCCGAGCTTCTCCTCCGATTTGTGGCGTGCGCCTTGATGTTGTCACACAGATCGGAGGGACCTACAGTTTCACGCCGACTCCGAACGGCGATTGTATTTTTGCGAGAGCTGTTTTTCATGGCAGAAATACACTCGGAGGTTTGCCATTGCCTACCGAGGGACGACCGCTGTTAAGAAAAAAACCTTTTTCTATACTTTTTGCGATGTTGCTTAGACCTGGGCTTGAACCCAGGCGTTGCGGAGTGGAAGCGCGCACAGCTTACCACTACACCACAGCGGCCACATTGCTTAGTACAAATTGCTCAACTTTTGGGAAAGCATCGTCTTACTCGTACTAATTGTGAAGCATATTCATATTCGAAATAAAGTCGATGCAAGTTTTTTGACAGCTATTCTATTGCAATCGTGAGTAGAATCGGTATTGGGTACCGAAATCTTTCTGAAGTATTGGGTACCGAGTATTGGCAATTCAGCACATCACTAATATTTTCGACTGTCGTACAAATTTTTGGTAAACCATTTTATCGGTCTTATTTATATTGAAGTATTTGTATACATAATTACTTTTCAATTTGCAATTTACCCCCGCCGTATAGAAACATGGATTTTCAAAACAGACCCGGTGGTAAAACCGGCAGTGGTGGTGTCGCATCATGGTCGGAAACTAATCGCGACCGCAAGGAGCGTCTTCGCCTACTTGGTAAGATATAATGTTTTTAACATGGTTAAGTTAACAATAATTTTTCCTTATAGCCTTGGAAACAATCGACTTGAATAAGGACCCTTATTTTATGAAAAATCATTTGGGTTCATACGAGTGCAAGCTTTGTCTGACTCTTCATAACAATGAGGGCAGTTATTTGGCCCATACACAGGGTAAAAAGCATCAAGAAAACTTGGCACGACGTGCTGCTAAAGAAGCCAAGGAAGCGCCATATGTGCTTGCGCCAGAAAAACCGCGTGTTGAACCGAAAAAGTTTGTAAAAATAGGTCGCCCCGGTTATAGAGTGACTAAACAACGTGACCCGAGCAATGGTCAGCAATCCTTACTTTTCCAAATCGATTACCCTGAAATCACTGATGGTATCATCCCACGGCATCGGTTCATGTCTGCTTATGAACAAAAAATTGAACCCCCGGATCGTAAGTGGCAATATTTGCTCTTCGCCGCTGAGCCATACGAGACCATTGCATTTAAAGTTCCGTCACGAGAAGTAGAAAAAACCGAGGGAAAATTTTGGACACATTGGAATCGCGATACGAAGCAGTTTTTCCTACAATTTTCATTTAAATTCGAACCAAAAATCATCCCACCACCTCCACCACAACTACATCGTGCACTGGGCCCTGCTGGCGGTTTCCCGATGCCTGGTCCACCACGTCCGCATCACATGTTCAATGGTGTGCCACCGCCACCACCAATGGGTGTGCTTCCTGTACCGCCACCACCCATGTGAGAGGAGGAAACAACTCCCGTCAGCAGTGGCAATGGCTGATTGCTGCGGAAGTTGTATTAAAAGCATTGCGGATAAAATTTCTATATAAAAAAGTGAACATTTTGGTGTCATAAAAGATCAAAAATACTGTATTAAAAATTATATATGTATGTACGCTGATTAATTCCATCTCACACCAATAGTCCTCAAAATATAAAAAAGTTATAAAAAATTAGATTTATGTGTTTCAGTGACAAGCGTGAATAGCTATTACCAAGGCGGTGTTACTAGCTCAGCTGATTTTGTGTATGTGTTTCGAAGCACGGCTTCTGATATCAAATTGAAAAATTTTGTTTGAATTTCTACACACACTTACAGATTTTGACAGTTTATGCCGCCAAAGCAAAAACAAAATACATGTAAATTTTTGTTTTTGTGCTCCTGCTAACACCTTATATTATTATATTATATTATATTAATATATATATTATATTATATTAATTCGCCTTTGCTATTACTTCTTTTTAACCGACTTCAAAAAAGGAGGTTATCAATTCACCGGAATTCCATTTTTCTTTATAATCATAATCGTGGTACAAAGCGCAAAAACAATATCGAAATGAAATATATTTTTATTTTTTTGTATGTATATTACCGCGTCGGCCGCTGTGGTGTAGTGGTAAGCAGTGCGCGCTTCCACTCCACAATGCCTGGGTTCAAACCCTGGTCAAAGCAACATCGCAAAAATATAGAAAAAAAAGGTTTTTTCTTAACAGCTTTCGTCCCTCGGCAGGCAATGGCAAACCTCCGAGTGTATTTCTGCCATGAAAATCAGTTTCTCATAAAAATACAATCGCCGTTCGGAGTCTGCGTAAAACTGTAGGTCCCTCCGCTTTGTGTGACAACATCAAGGCGCACGCCATAAATCGGGAGGAGAAGCTCGGCCAAACACTAACATATGTGTAAGCGCCAATCTATTATTATTATTATTACCGCGTAACTTTGGACCACGTCTACTGATTTTTTTTTTTAAAGGAAATTTGGTACCTCAGAGATGGTCCCATACTAATTTGGTTTAGATCCTATCATTGGATCACGAAGAAATTAACGGTACTCTTAAATTTTTATGAGAATTCAAGTCGGTTTTGTTTTACTTGTCTTGTGATTATATGTAAATAAATTAATTAGTATTTTAAACCGACTTTAAAAAAAGGTGAAGGTTATCAATTCGTCGGGGTTTTTTTTTATGTAACCGCATAACTTTGGACCACGTCAACCGATTCCTTTTCTATCGGAAAGGTAGTCTCTCCGAAGTGGTCCCATACTAATTTGGTCTAGATCCGATCATTGGATCATGAAGTTATTAACGGTAATCCTAAATTTTTATATGAGAACTGAAGTCGGTTGCTTTGTGCTTAAAAATTAATTGTTTCTCTTGAGTTTCATGATGGCAACTCGTTCTTTGATATTTAAATCTTGCATTGCTATTCGCTCCTGCATTTGTATTTCCAGCTTCTTTAACCTCTCATGGCTCTCAAGCTCCCACTTCCGAAGCTCTTGCATTTTAATATCTTTTTCCTTTTCGTAGCAGAATTTTTCCTTTTCAAAATGAAATTTTTCAATTTCCAAAGCTAATTTTCTTTCCTCAAAGTCCGGGTGGCCATTCATTTCTAGCCTACTGTTGAGCTCATCAGACTCACAGTTTATACTAGAAGACTTATAAATTGAATCTGAGTAGTCCTTTTTGTGGGAGGTGGGTTCCATTGATGAATCTGAAGCTTCATTTGAAATGTGGTCAAACCCACCTGCAGAAACGGATAGACTAAGCTCCAGCTCATTTTTTATATCTGGGCCGGCAGATTCGGATTGTTCGAACTGCGTATGTAGTTGTGCATGGGTTTCCAACCTTTGAAAATGTCTTATTGGGCTTACCCGAACTCGAACGATATCACTATCACCATTGTTGGAGCTTATTTTAGCGCATTTAGATAGGTCATTTTTGGAATCGCTTTGTTTGAAGTATTGAGGAAACTCTACTGATTTAAATGAGCATTGCATATCGATTCCGTGTCGATTTGATATGTCCTCGAAAACATCAAAAAAGTTGCACATTTTCAAAACCGTTTCTAATGAAAAAATGCATTAAGATATTTCTAATGTAATTGTTTCTCAAATGTGTAATTCACCTCGTCGAATTTCTTCGCTTAGCGACATTGCCTCAGTTGAGCTTTGCCAGCATTTGGCTTTTGTATACTGAACGCGCAAATTTCTGACTTTGCTGCGCACTAGTCGTCCTTCAATTGCTATTTTGGATTGATTAAGGAAGCGCTGGTAATACAATCGTGCATTGGGTTTTTCAATTGGCAAGTTCTTGCGTACGAAATCTAACAGATTATTCTGTTCCTGTTCGCTCCACTTGTGCACCGGCCCTTTCCGCAAACGCTTTGGTCTCTAATAAACAATGAATTATTAATTACATTGTTAACTAAGCAATTCACTTACATTCTTAACGGCTTTACGCCCTTTGATTGGAAAATCGTGAAGCGCCATTATTGAAGGGCAGCTGGGATTTGAAATTCGTATTCATGCGAAGCAGCGCGAAACGAAATTAACTGTAAATCGGATTAATCATTGTAAAACCGGCCTCGATTAGAACGAAATGCAACATCAGAAAACTTTAACCAGTTTTCCCTAATATTTTATTAGGAACGCAGTCCCAAATACAAAATGTAAACAAAAATGTAACTAGGAATGTTCGATATCGTATCGATTATTCTGAATTCCGATATTTCATCGTGCGATAATAGATTTGTTGAATCGATATTCCCAGGTCGATATATCGAAGCCATGGACATGAACCATACACATTTGCAAATTTTGCGTTGGTTAAAAAGAGACCATTAAATAAGGCCATACGTTGGAGGAAGACGGAAGATCACATGTACACAAATGTTTACATCAGATTTTTCACACTGCCCTTTAGAATTTGATAGAAACTTCTAGGTAGCCAGCACGGTGCAGCGAACAAAGGTGGCGCCGTCAGTGGTACCGCTACTTTGGTTTTGCCGATTTTGGCAGTTGTGGTAACTTGTAAATAAACCTTTGTTTACAAATCAGCGAAAGAGAAATTTGAATTATAAGTGAAAAATCAGTTTAAATCGTGTTAATTTGCAATTTGTGGGTGATTTTTGAATTGAAGACTGTGTAAAAACCAATACAAAGAAGTTCTGTGTGTTAAATTGCGACAACCGTCAAGACGCAAGAAGCGGAGATGCAAGAGTAGCTCTGGGACGAATCGCTGCATTTTGTGTAAATAGGGCACGGCAAAGCCGTTCCCGAAATGTTTCTCTATTATTATATTAACAGCCTTTCCTCACAATGATTTTGTTTCTGCTCCACGCAGCCTCCATTAGCAAGTTAACTAATCAGTCCCGCAGAGATGCTGCTGCAGTTTTCTGTAGCAGCCTTAATTGCAGAGCAATGGAGTGCACTAAAACGTTTGCTGAAGCAGCCTCAATTGCAAAGCAATGGAGTGCACTACAATGTTCACTGTTCTCTAATAGATTAGGTGAAAAATGCAATATTTTCGCATTTAGCAAAATTAAAACACGTTTTTCGCAGTAAAGTGAACTGCTTTGGCTGTTTCAACTCGTTCTTCTTTTCGCTCTATTCTTTGTTTACTTGTGGTACACAAATGTCAACGCCCAGGACGGCGCAATCTTGTATTCTATCATTCTTGGGTAGCCAGTGACAGAAATCTCTATCAGTCTTGCCACTCAAATGATTTGTCAAATGATAGTCACTGTTCTTGCAGGGAAGGTTAGATAATTATTGACAGTCGCGGTTTGACGCTCCCTTAAGGCCCGTCCACATACAACTTTGGCGTTGCGTCGGCGCTGGCGTCGCTTTGACAGCAGCGCGAGTAACGCCCGTGCTTGCTACAATGAACGCTTAGCAGAGAATACTTTGGTCACTAAATTAACATACTAGCGGCAGAAAAACCAAAATTTTACATCAATAATTGCATTAAAAAATATATTTCTTGCCCGCATTTGATTAAAAATGAAAATTGAATCACATAATTTTGATTATTTGGAACAGCTGACGAATGACGCGCGCGAAAAGTTGAGAGTTGGTCATCTTTCTGCGTTGTGTTGGCGTTGGCGTTGCCCAACTTTGGTTATGTGGAGACTTTCATATAAATGCATGTATTCATAGTCAGCTGTCGAAGCGACGCCAACGCCAACGCAACGCCAAAGTTGTATGTAAACGGGTCTTTACAAAAGGGCTGCGCGCATTATTCAATAATAGGAGCGTTCCTTATCTCCCAGAAATAGTCAGAAAAAGTCCGAAGTAGTCAGATTTAGTCCAAAAAGCGTTCCTTAACTCGGAAATGACAGCTAAAATGAGAGAGCAACACCCAGTGAGAGTGACTCTCATCAGTCCGAAGTAGTCAGATTTAGTCAGAAGAATTTTTTCTGGCAAAATCCTGAAAAGTGTCAAACTCAACTAAATTTAAATTAACGGAAATTAAAGAATACGCAAAAAGTGAGAATAATCTAAAAAGTAAAAAAAGTGAATTGAAATTGGAAGGAGGCAAAAAATAATTGATATAGTAAGTGTTTATTGTGCTTGTGCTTGTGTGAATGTGTTTTGTACATACATTTCCATTCTTATTTGACGTTAGCTTTGTTGTTGCCATTCTTTGGACTAAAAATTTGGTTTTTTGCGTTCCTTTACTTTTCCTGTTATTCTCTTTTAGTGAGCGCATTTTGCTTACGCTCTGGCATTTTGACACTTTTCAGATTTTAGTCCAAAAAGATAAGGAATGAACCTAATACAAGGTTAGATAATTATTGACAGCTGCGGTTTGACACTCGAGTGTCCCTTACTACTCGAGGGATCCCTTACTAAAGGTTGCATTTATGAAGGGCAGAGAAAGGGCAAGAATGCAATCCCTTGTTTCAAAAATGGTAGTAGAAAAGTACGCAAAGTAGGCAATTAGTAGTGAAATTCCTTTCGTAAATTCTAATGTATTTGCAGGAAATCTGGCATTTTAAAAGAAATGTTTAACGTAATATTGATATATCTACGTGAATTACGTAATTTATTGTGCTATTTAGCCGTATAAAAACTGCAAAATGACTCAAAATTAAAATAAGACTACTATGAGACTGATGTAAACATCCAATGCTTATGTTTTCATCAGTTAAATATGCTTCATATGCATATACAAATAACCATATTGCACAAAAGCTTATACTTTTATTTCACACCAAAGCTACACTGTTTCCATGTAAATTTGCAAAGAAGCAACACGGTGCCACTGCTAAGGGATCGGTGCGAGAGAGACAACTGTCAGTTTATCGAACCTTGTATTATTGAATCATGGGCTGCGCGCCCGTACTCTAATGCAGTGTTCTTCAAACTGTGGGTCGCGACCCCTTGGTATGTACATTTGGGGTCGCGCATTCAAAAGATCGGAACACACTGCTTTAATGCTATTTGATCATTAAATCTATTGTTATAAGTTTTGAAAAATAAGAATAAATAAGTGCACTCAAACAAATTTCTTATTCAGATGTTGTTTGGACCATCGGATCGGATCCAGTTCCAACGGAGTTGTTTTTGTTGTAGCGGCTACAACAACCCCGCCCAGATCGGTTAATATCTCAGTCGTTGTCGTCAAGTTTCACTAACGGCAGCCCTAAGAAGCTTGCAGCCTCATTTGGGTCGGTCCATAGGGACAAAGGCGTTAGGGTTGTTGGGCATACGAAGAGATGCTTCGAGTCATGAGGTGTCTCTCCGCATGCCGGACGCTCATTCGGCACATCCGCATTTAGTCTGCTCAGGTATGAGTTTAACCTGCTGCAGTAGCCAGAGCGAAGTTGGGCTATTGTGGTTCTTGTCTCCCGATGCAGATGAAGCCCAACGGAGTAGTAGTATGCACCTCTGCCACCCAGCCCCATTGGCGGTATACATATAGTTATTCAAAGTAAAAGATTAAGAAATAAAAAGAAATGTATGGCAAAGTTTATAAATATTAAATTTATATTTTTTTGTTTTAATTAGCGCATTAAATTCTTTTTTTTTATTACATGGGGTCAGTTTGGACTTTCTTAAACGTGAGGAAAAAACGATCCCAGCTGAGGGTCAAACAAAACAACTCGTCAGATCATTCTTTGTTGTGCAAAAACTTCGTGCGAGAATTTTGTGCTGCGTCCTGTTGAGAAGCGAATGTGTATATATATACACTTTATACATAGTGTCTCCCAAAAATTAACGATTTTGAATTGTCAGTCATTTTGCGCATAAGCGACATGTTTAAAATACAGAATTTAAAAAAGGTCGCAGGTTAATTCTCTTTTCTTCGCTCTAGTTCCATAATGGCAATTCGTTCCTTGATATTTAAATCACGAATTGCTATTCGCTCTTGCATTTGTAGTTCCAGCTTCCTTATCCTTTCTTGGCTCTGAAGCTCCCACTTTCGTAGCTCTTGCATTTTGAAAAATTTTTCTTTTTCAAAATTGAATTTTTCAATTTCCAGAGCTAGTTTTCTTTCCTTAAAGTCGCGCTCGTCAAACATTTCATATCTGCTGTTCAGTTCATCTGACTCACAGTTTATACTGGAAGGTTCATTAAATGACTGTTTGTGGGGGGTATCCCCCATTGATGAATCTGAAGTTTCATTCAACATATAGTCATATCTATTTGTAGAATCATGTAGGCTAAGTTCCTGCTCAATTTTTACATCCGGCTCCGCGAAATCCGGTACAGGTTCGAGCTGGGAATGAAGTTGTTTTCATGTGTTAATTTTTTTAGTCTTTAAAACTTCTTTTAAGGCTTACTTGAGTTTGAACAATATCACTTGTACCAACGCAAGAACTTATATGACCGTATGTACCTAGATCATTTTTTGGATCACTTAGTTTACTATATTGGGGAAACTCTAAGGATTTGAGTGAACACTGCATATCCATACCGTGTCGATTTGATATCTCCTCGAAATCATCAAAAAAGTTGCACATTTTCGAAACCATTTCTGTATCAATAAAATAAAAACAAAAAAATTTGCACTATTTCAAATATGCCAAACTAATGTACCTCGTCGCCTTTCCTCACTCAGCAACATTGCCTCATCTGAGCTTTGCCAGCATTTTGCTTTTGTATATACAACACGCAAATTTCGCACTTTGCTTCGCACTAGTCGCCATTCAATCGCTATTTTAGAATGTTGGGAGAAGCGCTGGTAATATAATCTTGCAGTCGGTTTCTCAATTGGCAAGTTGGTGCGTAAAAAATCGATTAGCTTCCTCTGTTCCTGTTCGCTCCATTTGCGTATCGGCCCTTTGCGCATGCGTTGTGGTCTCTTTATGGACAATAAATTGTTAGTTACAATTTTAATCAACGTAAATCGCTTACATCCTTAATATCATTATATCCTTCCATGGGAAAAGTATCCATTATATGAAGACAGTTGGTTTTCCCAAAGCTACATCAAACAAAATGATTAAAGGTAAGTCGCTTGATTCATAGTTTATTCGAGATCAATTAAAACTCTAGAATTTGGTTTATATACCAAACAATATTTTTCCACAATTTTTATAGTTTATGAAAACTTCAACCTGTTAGACTAAAATAATTGCCGTCAGACAAAATGTAAACAAATTTCGATATATTCCATATCATCGTTTTCCGAAAATTTATCGATCACAATTTCATCAAACCCCGTTGTAGAGTTTACATAATATTACGTTCTCATTGAGCCATAAACGTGAGTTTAACGTTTTGAGTTTATGAACAACTATCAAGTGTTCACAACTATC